AATACATTTGCATTCAAAAGTATGTTTCAATAGTTATAAAACCAATGATTAGATATTTATCTCCAGAGGTATATAGATAATGGTGAAGACATTCATTGTGTCCAAAAACACGACTCAAAAAACGACTATTCATTAGACGTATGAGTAAAATGTGATCCCAAGACAGACAAAGACTTTTGAAGACTTTAATTATAATAATCAGTGAATCAATCGGTGGTGTTATGTGTGAGACATACAGACAACACAAACCACTTATGGATTCATCGAAATGATCACTAAATGACCGGTTTTTGCACATCACTGCCAATCAATACTCAAACGCCAATACATACCCAACCCATTAGATACCGGTGCCAAACATTGCAAATACATAACACATATGAGTGCATTATATATTGCATATTATCATAAGTTATAGCATTAACAAACTTTTCACATTAATAATTCAATACATAATTAAAACATTTAATTAAAACACGTTTTTAAAAGCATTGAAAAAAGTTTTTCCGATAAATACCTGTTAGTAGAGTTGAGTGGTGTATAGGGGGCGGGGGTTTGGGTACAACCCCTGGACTACGAGCTGAGACGGAGGTCAATGAAAGTGTAGACCCCTTTCGTAGCTAATTATCAAGGTAATTATGCAAAATTCAACTCAATTAGCGATATATGACATTCAAAAAGTCATGTGTTGTTTACAAATACAACACAAACGCATGCATTGAATGCCATCTGTTATTCACATTTGAATTACGAGTCATTTGTTATGAGATTTTGTAAACAATTCACTCAAAAGTGAACCAAAAGTTGTGTTTTAATTGTCACTCAAATGAACACTCATTTTATTGATTGTTATCTTTTGTCGTATAAACCAAACACTAGTTTATCGGTTATATTGTCTCAAAACACGTGTCTTTGAGTACATCCCCATATGACATGTATTTTATTGTCTATTGATTAAGTCTTAAAACGTGGATCCGATTGAGATGATCAGCGATGGACACATCGGGTGATAACGTGCGCTCATTATCATCGGTGGCCGACATGGGATCAAATGCAGTGATGAATAACGGAAATGCCATCAAATTAGTGAAAGCCATCTATAACTTCAAGCCCACCAATAATGATGAGCTCTGTTTCAATAAGGATGATGTATGTATCCATTTGACCATGCTCATATCTGTTACTCACCATCATAATTAACCATTACATACCAATACAGTCTTAATCTATGTCCTAAATTAGTCTTAACCCAGATGTCAGTCCTCCATAACCCATATGACAGACATAAAGCCTTATGTTTGATAAGAAACAGCTGTTTATTGTTTGGTTAATCCGTGTCTAATCTTATGTTATATTTGGTGTCATAATAGATAATAACGTTAACCCAATGGCCATCAGGGGGCTGGTGGGAGGGCACTCTGAACGGCATCACCGGTTGGTTTCCATCCAATTACTGCCAACCGTTGACCACATCGGACACCGAACTCAAAGACAGCGGTGTCTCTCATGTGATCACTGGTGCCACTAATAGTCACGACACAGACTCTCAACAGTACAGACAAATGGTTGCAATCATTGACTCATTGACAGCATCTTAAGACATGAACTAATTGTGAAAATGTTATCCACTAATACTGCAGGTGTTCCAAGACATTGAGGACACGGAATCGGCTTATGTTAGAGATATTATGGACACTATTAATAGATATCTAAAACCATTACAACTCTCGCAAATGTAAACTCATTTTATTGGCATTTAATGAAATAGTTTTTATGAATTGATTTGTGGTTTGTTTGGACAGTTTGCCTGAGAATGACATCAATGCGATCATACGTATTGTACAGGAGATCAGTTCAGTGCACCGGCGCTTTCTGGTCACACTTAATGGCCTTAATTCGTGAGTTTTACAAACTTTTTGCTATTTGATAATTCATTCATATGTTTTGTCTTAGTCTCCCTCACAAAGAGGTGCGAATTGGTGGCGTGTTTCTGGAGTTTGCACCGCATATAAAGGCTGTCCACTTAGACTACTGTGCAAATCACGCCAAGTTTGTCCACTCGATTGAGAAATATAAGTCAGTTTTCATTGCAATTTGTATGAATTGTACGAAATTTCTATTTATTAATTTGTATACAACAGGAAAGACATCTGCACTCTGTTTAATGGTATGAACCCATCGGACAACAACGCCGGTAACGTTCAGTTGACTTCGTGTTTAAGCGCATCGTTTAGACGTATAGACAAATATCCGGCTCTACTTCAAGAACTTCAAAGATATACTGATGTGAGTGGACAGCCATTTGTATGGTTTGATTTGATATTTATTGTTTACCGTTAATAGGAAAGTCATATCGATAGAGGAGATACACAAAGGGCTGGCTTTGTGTACAGAGATCTATCGGTCAGTGATATTTGATTACTATTTTATGTTTTGCAATGAATTTAATGATTTATTTTGATTAAACAGATGTCTTGCCTGGAGTTGAGGCGAAGGAAGGAAATGGAACTGGAGGTCATGTTAGGCAATATCAAGAACTGGGATCAGGGAATGGTATGTCTATTTTAGTGACATTTTAAAATGCCTATACCGGTAACACCTATTTATTGGTCAATAAACTTAGAAAAACATTCAGACATTTGGCGAAATAATACGCATGGATTCGGTGAGCATTCAAATTATCCCGGATTACAGCGAAATGAAAAAAGACAGATATCTGGTTCTGTTCCCACAAATACTACTCGTGCTGTCCGTCAGCACCGAAATGACATCATTTGTATTCGAAGTAATTGTCGTGTTTTGTGGTCTATTGTCATGTTTTGTGGTCTATTGTCGTGTTTTGTGGTCTTGTCTTCAGTTTATATAAAAGTCTAATATATTTGCTGTCATTTCAGTCGAAACTAAGACTCGAAGACGCGGTCATCAAAACGAGTGGTGAACTCATGGACGCGACCAATATATTTGAGATCACGTCGACTGAGGAGAAGACTACCGGCGCTCAGACGACAAACATATCGTTTATCATTCAGTGCCCGACTATTGAAGACTCGAAACATTGGATCGAATTATTACAGAAATATATCTTACATTCACAGACATTGAAACACAATCCCAGTGCTGGTGTGCTTCACGCCAATCACGGCTCCGACAGCACTGGTCACCGATCGGCCGTTCCTTCCATACAAAGCGAAGGGTCGACCACTTCTTCGGCTATAATACTGAACACATCGCAGTCATCGCAACGTATCGCCGGACAGACACCACATATCACACGATCTAATATTTATTGGACTAATAAATGTTTGTTACCCCACCCGCCCACTCGGATTAGACCTCATAGTGGCACTACCGGTGCTAATACCCCGGCAGCTGTCAGTAAAAAAGGGAATTTAAGTGCAAATGAAGATATGCTTATATTGCAAGTCATTGAGAGTTATTGTAATAAAGGACGGGTCAGACAGCCTTCGAGTGCAGGTATGGATGCATTCAAGTTGTGATTATTGTTTGGAAATCATGTAAATCTGTTTGAATCGATCGATAGCTTATTCAGACAGTCCTCAGGTGTATGTCGTGGACGAGGACCGACCCAATACAGGCAGCAATTCATCGGTTAATAGTTTACATAAAAACGGGGAGACGTATGAAAAGTTCACATAAATTGTTTGCATTTAAAAACTAATTTAAACTAATTTTTAATTTTAGTGTGAATACGGAAATGGATATAAGAAACGAATTGAGACAAATGAAAATGGTATTGAAATTTGTTTGAATATTATTTGTGAAGAATTGAAATGATTTTGGATTTGGTGTTTAACAGGACTAATTCAGTGACAGCCTACGGAACTTTCGGCTCGCGGCCAGCGCTGCCTTTAACTTTCGGAAACATTACCTCACAGTTAACTCACGGTTTTTATGCGGTTTTGGAATTCTCTTTCGTTGATAAAAATAGAGAAAAGATATCTATTTTTACTATACTTTTGATGATTTAATTGCAATATTCTAGAAATTATGGCTTATTTATTGAGTCCCTAAATAGACTTTTATTTATACCTCAGATTTGAAACTAACATTTTGTTAAACAATTATTTTGCACTTAATCTATTTATTCATATCTGTACTAATTATTGTTTTATATGTTTGCTGTACATTTTTCAATCATTAAATACTGCCTTATTTAATATCAAAATTAAATTTTAATTATGTTTAAATTTGATTACAGGGTAAAAATACACATGTTTACAGACTAAATTACAGTGTACATAAACATTGAAAACACGTGGTGTGTACTGTATGTGCTGTCAGTTTGTGTGGACTATTATGATAATTATAGTATAATATAATTGCATATTTTAATTAATAGTTTATATCCATTTATATCTATAGTCGTTCACTGTATAGAAAGTGGACTGTATTAAATTTGACAAAAACAAAAATTCATAATATAATAACACTCTCTGGAGACTAGTCCAATTAAATACAAATGAATACATGATTTAAATAATTTATAACAAACACTTCGATTTACAGTTTGAATATAATTAACTTTTTTGAAATAAATTATTTAATAAATAATTATAACATAAATGGCATACCTTTCCAGACAGTGGGCGGCGGTGACCACCCATTGGGTGCCTATAATAGATGCCCGGGTTATCACCGGCTTTGGCATCACTGCCCCCTATGATACCGACCCTAACAATATTGGTTTTATACTGGTGCTCATCAAGTGGAGATGCAATTGACCAAGCACTTAATGTAAATAATATTATATATTTCAAAAACATTTTCTTAGATACGTGTAATTGTTTTATAACATTAAGTTTTTAATCATTTATATCAAATAATTGTCACTAAAATACTTATTGAAGTATTAATGCGATATCTATTGTATGTTACCATTAATCAAATGTTAAGTGTTTCACAGAATTGCTATTAATTTAGGGAACTGGCAAATTGACCTAAAAACCAATTGACCTAAACTAGATTAAGTCACTGTCGGATGCCTTGAAAGCCGAGCGCCGGTCGCGACGGAAATTGAAAGCCTTTGTAATGGAGTGTCAATTGAGTGCCAAAAATACGCCAAAACCTTAAGAGAAAGCAACTATTTTTAGAGAAAAAATATCTATTTTTACTATACTTTTGATGATTTAATTGCAATATTCTAGAAATTATGGCTTATTTATTGATTCCCTAAATAGACTTTTATTTATACCTCAGATTTGAAACTAACATTTTGTTAAAGAATTATTTTACACTTAATCTATTTATTCATATCTGTACTAATTATTGTTTTATATGTTTGCTGTACATTTTTCAATCATTAAATACTGCCTTATTTAATATCAAAATTAAATTTAAATTATGTTTACATTTTATTACAGTTGTAATAATAACCACTGAATTACGCTTACACTTTAAAGCTTATGTATGTGCTGTCAGTTTGTGTTGACTATAATTCATGAATACGTTCAGTAATTCATGATTAGTATATTTTAATTTTATAGTTAATTACAACTTATATTAAAACTATTTAAACGGTATGCAGTGACAGTGATGTCCACAATTACCACTGACATGAATGGCAAACAATTATTGAGTGATAAATGTGTGCAAAATATGGACACGAATGAAGACAATGAAGATAATGAATGTCTGATAAGTGGCTCACCGTTGCATCTATTGGTTCCGTACCCGCAGTTCACGCGAAAACACAAACAATTAGCCAAACATAACAACATTCACGTAATTAAAGGCAAACTGAGTTCACATGAGTTGCAAATCCTGACAAACAATTGGCAAAAGTTTTGCGATGAATACCAATGCGATGAAGACATGAAGACACGTTTGTTAGGGTTTTTCGCGTTCAGTGACAGCTATAGTAAAAGTGAGCGCAAAAAGTTCAGAGACTTCATGCGAAACGAGTGCTTTTACCTGCGATTAGCCCAAGGGATGCCCAATCGTACGGTTAAAAAGGTATGGGATAACGCCAGGGTCAAGTTTAATACATTGAGAGCGCTAAAAGACCTGTCACCTAATGATAAGGAAAATATGAAAGTATTGTTTGAAAGGCATTACAATTGCCGAAAAGTTTTACTGTAAACCCCTTACAGTTCAGTATAGTATCGAGCAGTCGTACAACAAGAGTGGACAGGCATGGGATAGGGGGCACTGGACTCCCGATGAGGACATGCGACTCATCAACGCGTTGAAGACTGTGTTGAAGACGGATGACTTGTCTCAACACATATTCACTAAAAATATTAAATACAGAAAAGCGAGAGATGTGTCGCAACTGAATAGAAATGAGAGGTATTTCAGGAGGCGATGGAAAAACAGCCTCCGCTGGAAAATAGCTAACTTTCACCTCTTAGAGGACAAGTGGACAATGAGGGACACATCGAAACTGGTCTACTGTTTGTTTAAATACAATTTTGATGATGAGTTGGCCGTCGATTGGGATTTACTAAAAGAGAAGTTTGAGAAAATCTCTTCATTTAATAGTTTGATGAAAAATTGGCGATTAATTAAGTCTACAGTTCCTGACTTTCACACCAAATCCTATAAACAGATAATTGGTTTCCTTTTTGATAACTTTTTGCCGCAATTTCTCTCATCCGATGAAGACTTACGAGAACTCGAAGATTTCTATCAAAGTTAATATTTGTTAACATTACTATACATTGTAATTACGGTGTATCACCGATTCATTGAATAAAAAGCACATTTAATTAATTAAACTCTTAAATTTTTATTTGAATTTTTAAAGATAGTTAAATTACAATTATGAAATTATTTTTATATTTTCAAATCATCGTTTTAACATTGGATTAGTATTTGAAAAGTTCCTTGTTTAAAAGTTTTATGATTTAATTAATGTTATATAAAAAAGTGGCTTGATTAGATTTGATAATATTGAATACAGTCGATAATATTGTGTATAATTATTGAATATTCATACAATGGTATCATAACTGGTATGTTAATGTATGTACCGGTACAGTATATTTAATAAAAATTTTAATAATCTTAATATTAATAATAAAAGTATTGTATAAAAGGTGTATTTAAGTGGATATAATCATGAATTAATCATAAAATATATTGAATACAAAATAGTCTTCAAACGTAATGAACACATCATATGATTGAATAGAGAAATGGATTTTGGTTTACAATCAAACAGAATATTCTGTTATTCTTGTAAAGCATAAGTGAAAACAATTTTCGGTTTCCAATTGTTTTCAAATATTTTAATTACATTATAATTGACTTAAAAAATATTTTGATATACTTTTGAGCAAAAAATATAACATTTATGTGTTATTTTTGATTACAAATTAAATGTATTATAATTTAACATAGAATACACTGACACTAAATACACTACTCAAACATTTCATATAATTTATAATATATTTTACTTTTTAATGCAATTCTCTTTGAGATCCAAAATAATCGCTGTTTTTCTTATTCAATATAATATTCAATTCATTCAAAATCGATATATTATATGAAATAAAGTAATAAATAATTTCATTTGATTAAATACGCGATAATTTTAGGTTATAATAGTTTATAATTTTCATACGATAAATATCAGCAAATATATTAATATTCCTGTAAATATAAAGTACTTATTATGTAAATCATAAAAATGAATATATTTTATACATTCTCTATGTATTTATAATACATTTAAACTAAATTGCATTAAAAAACACTCCGAAAGACCACAAAATAATATAAACCCAAAAAACTAATTACAAAAAACTAAATGATTGCCAATATTTGATTAAAAATTGTCTTATTATATAAAAATTTAATAATGTGTTATAGATTTCTAATTGAAAACATTGCAATCAATAAAATCATTGTAATTAAAGAGAAAATAATTTTAAAACACTCGTCCATGTTTGAAATAGACATAGTGTTTGACATAGAGTCGAGGGCAGGGATATTGAGCACAAAAATGGAAATAATTTCAAAAATTGCATTTCAATTGATTAGAGATCAATAGTTGATATTGAATGAGAATAGAAATGTTTAAATTTCATATCAAATCTAAAGTAAAGTAATACAAAGGCTTAAAGAGCCATAAAACGAGTCTAAAAGAGGATCAAAATACTGATCAGTCGATAGACTTAATGAGCAAATTCTTAGGCAATTGTTTGGACGCATCGATCAAAGCGATCACATATTTCTCAAACTGGAAGCGAATCATCTGATTCTTACACTTATTAGCCATAGATATACCGAAAGTGATGATTGCGTTAATGAAGTTAATGCTGTTTATACTTGTATTCACGGGATACCACACCAGGGTAACTGTATTGAGTTTCTCAAACGTCAACAGGTTTAGTATGAGTGCCTTTATATAGTCGGACGAGTATAGGAACTCCACATACAGGTGCCGAATGTTCTCCATCTTGAGCAACGCCTGACAGCACCGGTCGTCGCAATCGGGACAGTCGTACTCGTCGGCGCTGAACTGGTTGTCAGCACAGCCGCAACTGAACGCCCAATTGGTGAGCGACAGGCGCTCGCAGGCGGGGAACTGTTGGTCAATGAACTGAAGCATACGGGGCGTGAAGAAGGCGCCGTGGATTCGGACGGTTCGCAGAGATGTCAGACAGAAGGGCTCCAATCGACTCAAGTCGAGGAAACAGTCGCGACTGAAGTGCAGTTCCAATGACTGCAAGTCCTTCAGAGCTATTAATTCAGTGATATTTGACGGACAGTAATGCGATTGATATGAGAGGTGTCGCAACTGATGAAAGTTCGCGCAAATCGTGTAAAATATCTCCTTATTCTCCAATTCCGAGG